AGGGCTTGTTGGCGAGCCAAAATGGTGTTTTCCGAGGCGCTGCGCTAGGCTCAGAGCGAGTTCGCGCTGCGCTAGGCTCAGAGCGAGTTCGCGCTGCGCTAGCTAGGCTCAGACGGCGAGTTCGCGCTGCGCTAGCTAGGCCCAGACGGCGAGTTCGCGCTGCGCTAGGCTCACAGATGCGAGTGCGCTGCGATAGAAGAAAAAACAGGGGCGAAACGACAACCGAAGGGAGGACTGTCCCTCTCGGTGAGGCGCGCGTGAGGCAGCGGAGGGCAGAGCTCGACACACCGAGAGCGGGCGCGCGTGGCGCGCGTGAGAGGCAGCGGAGGGCAGAGCAGCGGCGTGCATCCCGTGCCGCAGAGACCCTGCGGCGAGGCGGCGAACCAGGAAGCCACGCCAACCGCTATGGCCAGGGCGACGGCTCCTCTTCCCCCGCACGCACGACGCACGAGCGGGGGGAGTGAGCTAGAGCTGTCAAACGTTAACTTTGGGCCTAACAGTTGCACTATTGGCTGAAAATCCTCAACGTTGTTCAAGTGTTCTCCCCAGCCCAAGCTGTTACTGTTTGTTACTGTTGTTACTGTTGTTCAGTGGTCAGCAAGCAGAAAATGCCAAAAACCCCGGTAAAACCCGAAAATACCTGGGTTTTTCCAGGTATTTCGGGTATTACCCGCACTGGACGCTGGAGATCGTCGTGGGTCACTGCCAGGCCTTCCTTATTGTTGTTCAGCTGGCCTAACGTTAGCTACTGTTGTTGGGGAGCCCAACACTGTTCAGCTCTTAACGTTTGACAGCTCTAGAGTGAGCTCCGCCCGCCGCGCGCGCCTGTGCCCTGTGCGCCACGGGCCACGCTGTGCAGGTGCAGCGCTCGGCGCTGCCGGCCCGCCGCGCGCCACCCGTAGCACTGGGTCCGGACTGCTGGACGCACAACACACAGCTCACAAGGACAGCTCACGAGGTGGCGCTATACTAGTATAGTGGGGTTCGCGCGGGGGACCGACGGGGGACGCAGGAGAGAATGCTTGTCTGGGGCGGCGGCGTGGGGTTAGGGGTACTCGCCAAGTGTACACACACTAAATATAATTAATCACGCGCGGACTGCGCGTTTGCTATACCGCTAGATAAGACCTAGACTACTCCGGGGGCGAATTCAGAGCCTGCTACGGCTCTACCCTCTACGCGCTGTGATCGGGACGCCCTCAACGCGCCGCTCCGCAGGCCGGAGCATGCTCCGCAGGGGGTTGATGGGCCCTCCCATCGCCGCCTCCAGTGCTCATAGACGAGCTGAGATGCCGGCGCCTGCGTGCTCAGCGCCGCGCACACGTGTCGCAATCGACAGTCGCGCGCCGCCGCCGCGTCCGCCGCCCCGTCCCCCGGATCACCGCACTGTTCCACCGCCTCTGTCTCGTTCTGGCGCAGGTCGGCGTAGAATGCGGCCTTGGCGGCGGAGTAGGCGGCGTCGCGCAGGTGGTGGCCAGAGTCAATCGCGCGGCGCGCCTGAGCAAGACTGCGTGAGACCTCGGGTCGGTGGAGCAAATGGAGTCTGTACTCTCGCTCGCCCTGGAATCTGTACTCTCGCCCGAGCTCTCATGAGGTCGCCCGAGGTCGCCCGAGATTGCTCGAGATCACACGCGCCTGCCGCCAGACGCGGCCGACGGCCTCGCTGCTCGCATTGCTCCGGTAACTTGGAGCACTTGGAGTCACATCGTCCTTTTGTGTTTTGATTTTATCCCAAAAGCTAGGATTTTCAATAATGAAGCTGCAACTGCGTACCGTTTGCTGCGAGGCACTTGGTTGAGTGTTGTTCTGGTTTGTTTGTTTGTTTGTTTGTTTGTTTGGTTTGTAGTGTAGTGTGTGTGTGTGTGTGTGTGTGTGTGTGTGTGTGTGTGTGTGTGTGTGTGTGTGTGTGTGTGTGTGTGTGTGTGTGTGTGTGTGTGTGTGTGTGTGTGTGTGTGTGTGTGTGTGTGTGTGTGTGTGTTGTGTGTGTGTGTGTGTGTGTGTGTGTGCAGCCCAGCATGCTTGGGCTAAGAGGGGAGGCTGTCACGCCGCACCCTGCACAGTGCGTGTCCTCACGAGTCACGTGTGAGACGACACCACGACGACAGACGTGTGCTTTGATATGCAGCACAATTTATGCACCGTGTGCGAAGTGCGTGTCGCGGTGTCGTTTCTGTTTAGTGACGCCAGCTCCCTCCCCACCTGTAAACAGGCCTGAAGGACGGGTCGACCAGGAGCAAGCCCCTCCCAGCCCCTCCCTGCACATTGACATTTCTAGCAGCGGCATCGAGCTGAAAGTTGAACGGACCGTGCTCAGTCTTGTGGCTGCCGAGCCAACCAGCCGTTCCCTCGTACTTGGGTGCGGCAGTCCGAAGTGCTTCTGCGTAATACACTCCAAAGCCGCCGAAGGCTGAGCGCACTGGCGTTAGGCAACCGCTCCCACCCCAGCCAGCAACCCCTAGAGTCCCCTGCTCGGCCATTGGTGGCCATATGGCGTCGAGATCGTAATATAACGTTCTTCCCTGAGACCCATTGTGCACGGACATGCCAAAGATGGCCGTGACGTGCAGCAGACGGCCGACTGCAATCATCTTGAGGAAGCGCGACTGATCGAACGCCACAAAGTCCATATCGACGCTCACCAGCAGGTCCCAGCTATCCCACGCCCACGCAAGGTCAAGGACGCGCTGTCGCAGGCGTGCCAGCAGCAGGAGACGCTGCTTGCAGTTTCGCTTCAGGGGGTCCTTTCCAGGATTCTGGCACAGTGCATCAGATCGTAGCCAGCTCACGTTGCTCAGCATCTCGCCTGCGATTCGGCGCGGATATAGCTCGATGTAGCGACGAAGAATGCTCCGAGTGCCGTCGACGGAGTCGTTCTCGAGGAAGAAGACACGGTACTCGGCGAAGGCCGAGCCAGCCGCGAGGAGAGCCAGCAAAGAGCGCTCAAGATACGCCTCACCGTCGCGCACAATGAAGGTGAATGCCGCGCGCACATCGAGGAACCCCGGCCTCGGCACGCTGCTGCTGCTGCCACGGACCGCGGCAGATGAACTGTGAGAGATGGGAAATACCTGGCGCGTTCTTGGCGACGCGCGGCGGCAGGTCTTCAGTTCCCGCTTGCCGACATTGATGACATTCCAGGAGGGACTGGGAATCAGTGGATGAGCAGCATCTTGGCTAGCACGAACAACAAACTTGTCCCACAACCACGAGAGGCTTGCCCAGCGGTCGGCCTGCTCAAGCCAAGCAGCATTACTGCGGTACGAGTAGCTCATCGTTGTGGCGTGGTCGCGGGAGTGCCACAAACGAGCAAAACTATTAATCTACGTTTGCCCGCCAAAAGAAAGCAAATTCTTGACTTGGGCCCTCGGGCGGCCTTCTCTCGAGGTCTCGAGATACACAAAGCGGCCAAAATCTACGTTATAAAATGAACTCGGGGGCACGGGACGCGGCACAAACGGGGCACAAACGCCAGGCTACACATGTCTAGAATTTTACAACGTAGAAGGTCTCGATAGAAGGTCGTCTGCAGTTCGAGAAACGTTCGGGGGTCCCATGCGCATAAACCGTTCTGGATCCAGAACGTGACTGAGCGAGTCTTAATGCTGCGGGAGTCTCAGCGAGGAGACTGGGCGCATCTTGCTGCTGGCTGGTTGGTCCCTACCGCCGCCACGCCATGGCGCGCGCGAGAGGGCTACTCGACACAAGCTCGATGGCCTCCGCCGCTCCTCCTAGTCTGATTCACCTCTCCTCTAGCGCGGAGTGCCGTATTTTGCCGGGGTGAAGTGCGGTGATCCGCCTACTACCTTAGACACGTGAACGACGTCACGGCGAAGGCGGGGTCGGCCGCTGCCTCCCGACGCCTTCGAAGGCCGACCCGCGCTCCCTCGCGCGGGTTGTGAGCCGCAGGCACGCGCACCTACTCGGGAACGAGCCAAGGCGGTGTGTGTGGACCGTTAAGAGAGCCGAGAAGGTCCGTTTGGCGGTGCCGATACCTTGGACGACCGGCATGATCACGGCGAAAGTAGCGCGGTCCTGCTCCGCTGCCTACCGACGCCTTTGAAGGCCGACCCGCGCGCCCTCGCGCGGGTTGTGAGCTACTCGGGGACCCGCCGCGACGGCCTGGATGGCACGTATTTGTGGCCGGTGGTGCCTCTGTCCGAGTCGGCGGCGGCAGCGGCGACGAGGCCGCGGCGCAAGGGCGGAGCAGAACCGCCGAAGCGGCCTGCGGCTGCGCCGCGCGCCCGCGCGCGGAGGAGGGGCGTGTGTGAGTCAGTGCTACGCGGTACCGCCCTTGGAGAGGCGAGAGAGGCCGGTGTGGCAGGCAGGTTTAGCTCTGCCGGGCTGCGCGAGCCGCCCCGCCGCACGCGGCCCAAATCATGACACCACTCCAGCTGCGCTGGCAGCGGGCGCTGGTCGTCTGGCAGGCGGAGGGGCGGCTAAACGGCATGGCCCGGATCGCGTGCGCCAGGCCCCGAAAAAATTTGCGCAAGGACGTCGATCCGGCCGGGCCTCAGGGGGGAGGGGGAGGGCCAAAGGTTTCCCTCTGTTGAATTTCACGGAAAAAGAAGGCGCGCGACGATTTCCAGACCATGGCGCCGCGAAGGGCCAGCAGCGAAACCGTGCCCATGATGCCATCATCCAGCGTTGGTGGTGGCGGCTGGCCGCGGCGGCGGATGGCGGCGGGAGTCGTGCTGTGTGTCTCCGTGGCCGTGGTGGGGCTGGCAAATGTGGGCGTGGGCGAGGATCCGTTCCGTCAATGCGATCGGCAGTGCCGAGATGCGTACGGCTTCTACGATCGGGCCATCACCGGAGAGCGTACCGGGCTGCTTGGCCGCAACTGCGCCTGCAGCCACAAGGGTCAGCGGTTCGGCGTCGAGCAGCCTTGGCGTTCACGTCAGGCATGGAACGAATCCTTCTGGTGCGGCAGTTTTAGCACCTCACTCGTGTGCGCATCGGACCCGAGAGATACAGGCTGGACGCCGCGGACAACGACGCGCGAGGAGGCGGCGATTCAAGGACTAGCTGTGCTGCATTGCGGCGAGTGTGCCGCTTGCTCGACGATGCAGGATTTGCTCGTGCTCAACTCGACCAGAGAGTTCGCAACTCTGGTTGTGACACGCTGTGCCACGGCCTACGCCAAGCCGAAGTGGGCTGGCGGCCACCGCAATGTAGAGCAGCTACGCAAGTGCATGCGTGAGGCGGGTGTGGGCTTCAGCGAGGAACCTGCTGCTGCGTGGGCGAAGCCCGCTAACAAGCCGTCTTGTATGGACTGCTGGACAGGCGCTCGCCACAGAGCGCGACGCGCCCAGCGATTCGAATACTCACGCACCTCTTGCCGCTGACCCCGCAGATAACGTCGCGTGCGACGCCGTGGCCTGCGTCTCCAACTTTGACTGCATCCGCCGGTTCTTTTACCCGGCAGGCACCAGCTTCTCCGGCTGCATCAAGTGCGACGAGGTTAATTGTGGCGCAGACTTCATCCGCTGCGCCGGGGCCAACCGCCGCTCAAGCGGTGTCAGCTCTGACATTGCGCGGCCGAGCCAGCAGGTTTGCCCCGTCGGCTATTGGTCGGTGCCGCCGCCACCGCCGCCGCCGCTTCGCGAGTAGCAGAGGCCAGAGCGGTGCACTAGTGGGACGGTGGGGTGCGCCAGTGATTTTATTGTCTGCGTACTTTATCTACATCTGATACATCCGGTGCCGTCTGCCGCGAGGCTATCGGCATGGCTCGCAGTGAGGCCGCCCGCGGCCCCGCCCGCGGTGCAAAGCCAGCGCGCGCGTCGGCGAGCGCGACACCGCTCGCGGCCGGCGTCATGCTGTGGTTGCTGCGCGGGTTCGGGCCGCCGGGGACTCTTTAACCAGATGTCACATCGCCAAGCAGGTGTGACGTCACTTGCTAGGGTGTCGGTTAACCTTCATCAGCTGAGCGGCGCCGAAGAAGCCCGATTGCACCCCGAGCAAACGCGAGGTCAGCTGTCTATTACTGGTGGGCACGGCCGGATGCGAGGACCCTACCGGCGATACGGGTGGCGGCGGCGCCGACGCACCAAAAAATAACGCAGCACCAGGCTCGAGCTGGCGCCGCGAGGAGTTCCGCCGTCTGCCGCCCGAGCGCCGACGTGAGCTTCTCGAGCACCTTCAGCTTGACCTCGTTCGTGCGCCAGCACCTTGCCCTTGGCGATTTCGGTGCACGCCGCCGCATCGAAGCCAAACAAATCTAACACTCACGCGTCATTTGGGGCCTGGAGCCCTGTTCACGCGCGCGCGAGACGTGCAGACAGGGTTGCCAGGTGAGAGCGAATGTATTGCTAAAAATCTCTCGAAGCCCCAGGAGCCTTCGCCAGGTCGTGTGAAGAGCACAGATGATGTAGTGAGTGAGTGGTCCCGGGCCCTGCGGGGAACTAAGTCGGCGCAAGTTAGTCTGTGAGCTGGACGAGGGCTAGTGGTGTGCCGAGGCGGGTCAAGTGGTGAAGTGCTCCCGGGAGTCGTGGTCGGAGGCCGGGACACTACGCGCACTAACTTAGTGCGCGGAAGTGAGTGCCTCCGGCCGGCCGCGAGGGGAGTGGTCCGGCGGGCCGCTCGTAGTGCCCTTCGCCGGCGGACGGAGGCGGGCTCGGCTACTACACGCACTAACTTAGTGCGCGGAAGTGAGTGGGCCGCGGGCGAGCGGGCTAGTTGCCTCCCGCCACCCCGCGCACTAAGATAGTGCGCGAATTCTAGTGCGCGTAGTGGGTGGGCCGCCTTCTAGTGGTCGGCGAGGCCGTGGCCAGTGCCCCGGCCCTGCGGCGCCGCCTAGTGAGTGAGTGCTCGCCGACCCTCCCCACACTAAGTCGTCATCGGTGCTGTGTTTTTTAGTTGGCGAAGGCTCCTGGAAGCCCCAAAACTTGGAGCACTTGGAGTGCAGTCATTAACCTCACATCCAGGGCAAAAAAATTATAGATTTTTTCTGAGCTTAGCCTTCGATGTTATATGAAACAAACGCAAGGCGGTACGATTGGGATCGGGTTGCGGGCAAGAGAGCCCTAGCCCTGGGGGGTGCGCGGTCGCAGGGCCATAACACGGGTCTCCGAGTGCGTAGCTCGAGTTTTTCTTCCACCCCAGGAGGGCCGACTCTCCCTTCGGCTTTCGCGGCCCCGCAAAGCGCTCTACCTAAGCGTCGGGTTTCTCACCTTCGACCCTCTATACAAATGCGCTCCGCCCCTCTCTCCACTCTCGTCTGCCTCGCCATCCTCGGCAGCGTCTTTGGACTCTCCAGCGAAAGTGCCCTCGCTCAGCTGCGGTCGCTCGCCGACGCCGCTCGTGAGAGGCCGTCGGTCGTGCTCTGTGCGTGCCTCTGCGTGCTGCTCGCGGCTTGCTACGCCCTGTTTGCCTTCGCCGCGGACGTCACGACTCAGAATGCGCCCGAGCACCGGCCCGACGACCACGACCGCGCCGACGCGATGCTGGCCACTCCCAGGATGCGCTTGCTCCGGCGAGGCATGCTGATGCTCGATGTGGCTCGCCATCCCGAGAAGCTGCGCGAGGACCTGAAGCGGCGGTCGCGGACGAACCGCATCATCCGCAACGACGAGCAGGGCGGCGGCCTCACCCACCTCGAGGTGCCCCGCCACCCTCACGCCAGCGGCCCGGCTGACCTCTCGCCGGACCTCGCTGCCGCGGACGGTGTATCCTCTGCCGGCGGCGCTGCGGCGGTGGGCTCCTCCTCCTCTGGGGCGGGCAGCGGCGGCGGCGGCGGCGTGCGGTCCGCCGCCGCCGCCGCCGCAGAAGCCGCCGCCGCCGCCGCCGCCGCCGAGCCCCGCACGCCGGCGGACGGGCTCGAAGCGCACTGGGCGAGGGTTCTCTCCTCAGTGGAGGTGCTCTCGCAGCTGGACGGGCAGCACCTCGCCGCGCTCGCCGCGCTGGCGACGGTGCGCAAGTACCAGCGTGGCGACCGGCTCCGCTCTCCGCACCAGGTCGGCAGTGAGTATTAGTTAGGAAGGTGAAGAGCAGCCAGAGGATCGGACTCGGCACCGGCGCGGTATGGGAGGACGCGGGACAGGAGATGGCGGCACGCCGGAGCAACACACAGACACACACTCTCACAAGACACTAGGCGGGCAGCGCGCCGGCCTTTGTCGTCGTGCTGCAAGGCGAGGGAGGCGTCTCTCTTGCGGAGCGAGGAGAGGAGGGCCGCCTAGCCCTCGACGGCCCTTTCTAGGCGAGGTGTCTCTCTGGCGGACCGAGGAAGAGTACTTCCGCTGCGGCAGAGAGGAGCGCAAGGACCTGGGGGCGCGCATCGCCGCTGGCATCTCCGCAGCCCTTTCCTAGACCTTTCCTGGACCTTTCCTGGAACTTTCCTGCAGGCGCGCATCTCCGCTGGCATCTCCGCAGGTCCCCACATCTCCCCACATCTCCCCACATCTCCCCACATCTCCCCACATCTCCCCCCATCTCCCCCCATCTCGGCATATCTCACCGCATCTCCGCCGGCATCTCCGCAGCGGCCGAGAGCGGCGGCAGCGGCGGAAACGTCGTCGACGCGATCGCCGCCGGCCTCGCCGCCGCCAGCGGGCCGCAGGACGAGGCGGCGCCGTCGGCGGAGGCGGCCCCGCTCCGCACGTTCCGAGCAGGCAGCCGCTGCTCCTCTTTCCTCGACCTGCTCCACGCGCTCACCACGCCGGTCGCCGGATTCGTGCCCGCGCTCCCGTTCCGCTCCGCCTCCGCCGCCTCCGCCGCCGCCGCGCCGGGCGTACTCGCCGCCTCGAGCAGCGCCAGTCTGCTTGAGATCCCGACCGAGGCGCTGCGCCGGCCGGCGGAGCGGAACCTTCTCGGAACCGTCCAGGGACCTCAGTCCGAGCGCCTTGTAGGCGCTGCACCGGCTGGCGGAGCGGAACCGGCCCCTCGCCTTCGGGCTGGTCGAGGTGGTGCTGCTGCGGCTCGCCCTCGTCACCTGCGACACCATCGCGTCGTACATCGAGCTCCCGCCCGCACTCTGCCCGAAGCCCGCCCTCGCCGCGCCGCCCTCGCTGCCCGGCGCGTGGCGCGCGCCCGAGCTGGCTGCCTTGCGCCTCTTCCGCGCACCTTCGTCGACCCCTCCGTGTAGGTGGCCCGTGGAGGAGGTTTCTAGGAACCGTCCGGGAGCCTTCCAGCAGCCTCCCGCGACCTTCTACAGGCTCGTGGCGCGCACTCGAGCGGGCGCGCGCCGCCGACGCGGTCGGCGGCGCGGCGGGCGCGAGCGGGCCGTCCGCCGATGGTGGCAGCGCGAGCAAGGCGGCCAAGGCGGCTCGGCAGGCACTGCTTGCCCACGCAGGCCGCTGGCTAGTGTGTGTGAGAGAGGAAGAGAGAGAGAGTGAGAGAGAGAGTGAGTGGGAGAGAGGGGAGGGGGAGAGGGGGGGGGGGGGGAGGGGGAGAGAGAGAGGTAGCACCCCACCCAGCTGCCCCACCCCTATTTGGGCCCCCACACCCTTCGTCGCGCTCAGTAGCCTGGCGTCGGTGATGGGGTGCCTGTCGCTACGCAGTGCTGCTTGGCCCCCCCGCCTCCTTCCGCACAATCTCCTGCAATCTCGCACAATCTTGCAGGGTGTTAGCACCCCACGCCTGTTGGGCACCATCGGTCCCGCTCAGTAGACTTGGCGTTCGGTGACGGGTGCTTGCTTCCTGCCGACGAGTCGCTGGCTGCTCCCTCCCAGGCCGCTGGCTGCGCGCCGCGCTGCACGTGCCTGCCGAAGAGGACTTTGAGCCGCGCCTGCTCTACCTCGCGCCCGGGGAGGCGCGCGCCACCCACCCCCCGCGTTGCTGCTGATCGCTCAATCAGCCGCTGCCCCTCCCCAACTGATTCCGCCGGAGCAAGGCGCCCCAGCCGCGCGTAGTCGCTCCTCTGTCCGAGTTGACGATGCACGGGGCACAGGCTCACGAGCCAGCCTTTCCTAGACCTTTCCTGGACCTTTCCTGGACCCTTCCTGCAGGCGCACGAGCCCGCCGCGCACGAGCGGCAGCTGCTCGTCCACATCTGCGGCAAGGTGCGTAGTACTCGAGTCGAGTGGATTGGCGGATTGATTTCGTTGATTCGCTGCTCGTCCCCACACCCTTGCGGCAAGGTGCGCGCCGAGCCGAGCCGCGGAGGCGGAGGAGGCGGAGGAGGCGGAGGCGCCGAGCCCGAGGCGGCGGAGGGCGGAGGGCAGGCGGCGGCGCCAGAGGTGCCGGCGCTGGGCGAGGTGCGCAAGGGGACCCGCTGGCTCGTGCCGGGCGAGATCCTCGGACTGCGCAGCATCATCACGCGGCAGCCGGTGAGCGAGGCGGTGGTGGTGCCGCCGGCCGCCGGCGAGGGTGGAGGTGGCGGAGGAGGGAGCGGCGGGGGCGGCGGGGGCGGCGGCGGGAGCGGCGGGAGCGGCGGGGGTGGCGGCGGCGGCTCTGAGGGCGAGGGCGCGCTCCTCCTCTCGGTGAGCACCGACAAGCCAGGAGGAGCCTTCTACGAGCCTTCTGGAACCTTCCGGAACCTTCTGGAAGCTTCTAGGTGAGCACCGACCAGCTCCGCTCGCTGTGCCGGAGGCGGCCGGCGGTGCTGCTTCGCCTAGAAGGTTCCTAGCTGGTTCCTAGAATGTTCCCAGACTGTTCCAGGCGGCCGGCGGTGCTGCTTCGCCTTGCGTCGCTGCTGCTGCAGGCAACGCCGCCCGTCCTCCAGGAGCCTTCTAGGGACCTTCTAGGAGCCTTTTCTGGAACCGTCTAGGCGGTGCCGCCCATCTTGCGCACGCTCGACCATTGCGCCGAGTGGCGCGTGCTCCGACCGGGCGACGAGGCCGCAGACGCCACCTCCCCAGACCCCCCCCTCCCCCCCCCGCCGCCGCCCCGCCGCCCCGCCCCGCCCCCCCCTTGATCTGCAGCTGCCGACCGTCGAACACTCTGCACTTCTTTAGAGCATGCGTCGAGCCGCGCGCGGAGCTGTGAGCAGCGCCTCACTCCCTCTGGCCGCGGGCAGGCCACCGACGACCTCGACGGCGAGCCGAGCGTGCTCATCGTGCAGTGCGGCCGGCTGCGCCTCTTCGCGGCCTCGGAGAACGAGCCTGCCGACGGCGCGGCGGCGGCGGCGGCGGGAGGCGCGCCCCCGAGCGGCTCGTCCGAGCTGCTCGCCCGTGACTCGTGCGCATATCTCCTCATATCTCCCCGTATCTCCCCACCTCTCCTCATCTCTCCCCATCTCTCCCCCTCTCCCCCCCTCTCCCCCCATGTCTCGTCCGAGCTGCTCGCGCGTGACTAGTGCGCCGCCCCCCGCGCGGCTGTCCACGCCACGTCGGCCCTCTCCTCCTCTGGACCGGCCCGCCCCCCTCTGTCCTCTGCAGGTACGGCGAGGAGGATGTGCTCCTCAACACGCGCTCGGGCGCGCGGAGGGCGGTGGCCGTGCGCGACACGCAGGTCATCTCCCTCTCCGCTTCGGTCATCCGCGCCGCCGCCGTCGGCCACCCGCAGCTCCTGCTCGCCCTCGGCCGGCGGCTCGCGCGGCGCGCCCGCGGCCCCGCGCCGACAGCGGGGCTTCCGGCGGGGATGCCCGCGCCGGCGCGCGACGTGCGGACCGTCTGCCTGCTCCCCCTCTCCTCCGGCAAGGACCTCTCCCGCGCCCTCGACTACATGTGTGGCGCGCTGCACCGCGCGCTATTAACTGACTGTTACTTCACTGTTAACTCACTGTTAATTAGGTGTGGCGCGCTGCACCGCGCGCTGCAGCTGATGCGCGTGCGGACGCTGCTCCTCTCCTCGGGCTCGCTGCACGAAGAGCTCGACATCGCGCTCGCCACCTTCGCGCCGTTCGGCGAGATCGAGCTCTCCCTCCACCTCGCCGCCCTCGAGTCCCGCCACCAGCTCCTCCTCTGCCGCGCCGACCCCTTCCCCTCGGACTGGACGCGCCGCTGCCTGCGCAACGCCGACCTCGTCCTCCTCGTCGGACTCGCCACCGACGTCGACGTCGACGCCGCCGCCGCGCCGGCGCATGGGGCCACCACGAGCTCCTCCTCGCTCGACGGCGGCGGCGGCGGCGGCGGCGGCGGCGGCGTTCTGCGTGAGGTGCTGCGCGCGATGCGCGGCGGCGGCGGCGGCGGCGGCGGCGGCCCGCCCCCGCACGCGGCGGCCTTCCAGGAGCCGTCTAGGAGCCTTCTAGGTGCCTTCTAGGCGGCGGCGGCCTGCCTCCGCACGCGGTGCAGCCGATCGAGGCGCTTCTCAACGAGGACCGCGCCCCCGCGGCCCGCGAGCTTGTGCTGCTGCACCGCGGGCAGCACGCGCGGCCAAAGGGGACGCGCGCCTGGCTCGAGCAGCGCTCCGCTATCCGGACGCACCGCCCTCCCCCCCTCCGCGCGGCTGCACCTCGACGGCGAGGTTGGCTGAGATCAGCCGAGGCCACTCGAGCGTAGGCACACCGCCCCTAGAAGTCTCCTAGAAGTCTCCTAGAAGTCTCCTAGAAGTCTCCTAGAAGTCTCCTAGAAGTCTCCTAGAAGGCTCGCCCGAGCCGTAGGCACCACCACGTACGGCTGCACCTCGGCGACGACTCGTACGACGCGCAGCACTACCTCTCGGACGTGCGCCGGCTAGGAACCTTCTAGGCACCTTCTAGGAACCTTCTAGGCGCAGCACTACCTCTCGGACGTGCACCGGCTGGCGCGCTCGCTCGCCGGAATGACGTTTGGGCTCGTCCTCGGCGGCGGGGGCGCGGGCTGCCACGCACTACACGTCTCTCTCTCTCTCTCTCTCTCTCTCTCTCTCTCTCTCTCTCTCTCTCTCTCTCTCTCTCTCTCTCTCTCTCTCTCTGCATGACGCCATGACCAGAGCCCTTCCTCATCACCCCTCAGGCGCGCGCGGCCTCGCGCACCTCGGCGTACTGCGAGCGATGCGGGAGGCGGGCGTCCCTGTCGACCAGATCGGCGGCACGTCGCAAGGCGCCCCCTCGCTCCAGCCGCCCCCTCCGCGCGCCCCCTGTCGGCGCGCACGCCCCGCCCCGCTTCCGACAGGCGCCTTCGTCTCCGCCGTCTGGTCTCTCTACGACGATCCATTCGACCCGATCGGCTCCCTCTCCGCGGTGCGGTGCGTGGTGCGCAACTTCGCGGCCGGCATGTCCTCCACCTGGGGCTTCGTGCGCGACCTGACCCTGCCAATCACCTCCTACTTTTCGGGCGAGGGGCTCCGCTTCTAGGGACCCTCGAGGGACCTTCTAGGGACCTTCCAGGAACCTTCTAGGCGAGGGGCTCAACCGCTTCGTCGTCAACGCGCTGGGGGCGGCTAAGATCGAGGACTTGGTGCGGGCGGCCTGAGCGGCGTGCCGCGCGCCTCGTACGCAGCGTTTCGCTCCCCGCTCCCTCGCCCACAGGTGACGCCGATGTTTTGCGTCACGACCGACCTGTACACGTCCTCGGCCGTCATCCACCGCAACGGGGCGATGTGGAAGTACGTGCGCGCGTCGATGTCGCTCACGGGCTACTTGGTCGCCCGCTCCCTCTCGCCTCCCCCCCCCCTCGCCCCCCCTCCCCCACCCTCTCCCGCCTCTTGCCCTCGACAGCCACCCGTCTGCGACGCGATTGTCGACGAGCACGGCACTGAGGTCGTGCATCTGCTCTGCGACGGCGGCTACGTCAATAACCTGCCCGCCGACGTGATGCGCCGGGAGCTCGGCGCGTCGACCATCGTCGCTAATTAATTAATTAGTGTTCATTAATGTTTAATTAGTGTTAGTTACTAATTAGGCGCGTCGACCATCATCGCCGTCGACGTGCGCTCCGAGACGCCCTTCCTCTCGCCCAACTACGGCGCCTCGCTGGGCGGCCTCTCCTTCCTCCTCCGCCGGCTGCGCGCGTGGATCGCCGGCGAGCAGGCGCCGGGCGACGTGCCGTCGATGGCGGCCATCGCGTCGCAGCTGGCCTTTGTCTCGTCCGAGGCGGCTATGACCGCCCGCCCCTCCCCAGAGCGCCGACAGAGAGACGGCAGAGCGCCGACAGAGACGCCCCGCGCCCCGCGACTCGACAACCCTGCTCTCCTTGACCCCGCCCGGTTCGAGACCCCGCTCAGTGGCAGCGCGACGAGGCGCGCGACGTGCACGCCGACCTCTACCTGCGGCCGGCCGTCCAGAACTTTGGGCTGCTGCAGTACGCCGCCCTCTCCGAGATCCAGAGGCTTGGCTACATCCACGCCACCGAGGCCCACCGCCCGGATCAGCTTGGGCGTGCGGGCGGCGTCTCTTCACCAACCCTGCCCCCGACAATCTTAGGAGCTGGCGCGGTGGAAGCGGGAGCTGCGCGAGCGAGGCGACCCGAGGTGCGTCATCTTTGACCTCGCTGACTTGGCCGGCGACCCGCGCTCGGCTGGCCCTCGACGTGTCGCCTCGGCCGGCACCAAGACGGGCACGCCACGCCACTTTGACGCGACGGCGCGACGGCTGTCGGAGATCATTGGCGAGCTCAAGGAGGCGTCTGGGAGGAGGGCCGACGCCGTGCGGAAGGGGGTGGACGCCGTGCGGATGGGGCTGCGGCTCAGGCGCAGCCGCAGCTTCACGGGCACCACGCGGGCCCGCGCCTCGAGTTGGGACGCGTCCGTGGATTGGGGAAGGGAGGGGCTCCGGAGTCGGGATTGAGAGACAATAATGCATTGGAGTCTCGTGTTGAGATTCACAGACGGTTCAGCTGCAGTTCAGTCGATCGGGCGAGATATTGTCCAAGGCCACAAAAAGAGTAGCAGTTATTGTAAGAGGCGGAAGAACGGAGGTCGTACGGCTTTAGCGGAGTTACTTACTTGGAGGGTGTCGTGTGGAGTCAGCTGTCAGGGCCGAGAGAGAGGGGGAGGGCCGCCCGCGCCCCCCGCCCTTGCCGCCCACCACGCACCACTTTCCCCCCCTCCCCCATTCCTCTTCTCACTTTTTCCCCCCCTTTATAGCGGCGGCGAACACCCAGAGTAGGCATGCAGCTACATTTAAATTTACTTTCATAGGGCGAGAGCTTTGTTTGCCGCCGTCCCGGTGCTGATATTTCCGCGCTTAATGTTTGAGGCGAGTTTGAGCTGCTGGCGGACCCCTGCCGTGCTCAAGTGCTCACAAACGAGAGAGAGGGGATTTAGAAAAGAGAGTTTGTGTATCAGCATACAGCAACATCACACGGCTCCGCGTGCGTGCGCCGAATGCCGCTGCTTGCCGACGCAGCGCCACCACTATGCGGAGGAAGTGCAGAAGTTATCCCCAACGTCTTGCACAAGATTTGGATCGGAGAGACTTGCCCGCCAATGCAGGATCTGCTCTCATTGCTCGCGGCCACGGTCTTTCTCCAGCCTTCCGCCATCAAGTACCACGTCGGGAAGGATGTGCCTGCATTGTCCACTTGCACCGGTTTCGGCATGCTGTTCGCAAACCACAGCTTCCAGCAGTTGGCCATCGATGAGACTGCCCTGCCAAAGCAGCTGAAGCTGGCTGCCCACAAAGCGGACGCCCATCGTGCAATGGTGTTGCATCAGCATGGCGGCTGGTTTCTCGACGGTGACGCGTTTGTTGTGAGCAGGGACGTGCAAAGGTATCGTCGCTGCCGCGTTTTTGTGTTGGGAACTGAGCACGATCGTGCCAAACCTCCGCGTCGTGCCGACGGGAGGCCAAACATAGCAAACAACGACTCGTGGTCCGGCAAACTCAACAATGGCGCTATGCTTGCGCCGCCAGGCACTAGCTTCGGGAAGGACTGGCTCCGCTATATGCGTACAGGCTCATGGCGCAAAGGCGTGAACAACTGGGACTACGCGTCGTGCGTTTGGCCTACCGAATACATGGCAAGGCATCCTAGTGCACTTATTGGCGCGCTTGATGTGCGCACCTTTCCTTGGCGCAAGTTTGGCTGGGCCCCGAGCCTTGGCTGGGATTGGCACGTGCGAGCGCTTGTGGAGGCCGGCGCGACCGTCCTGCACGTGACAGGCGGACCCCCCCTCCGCCCTCTACCCCTCCCCCACCCACCACACACGGCCCCCTGCCCTCGATCAACCCCTCCCCGCCTCCCTCCGGGCCCCGACAGCATGGAAGAAGCGTGCGCGCGATGAGATGCGGAATGAAATTGCGCATGCAATCCTCGCCATCATCGAGCGAGCCATTGCCGAGGATCGCGCATCCCATGGACACCTTCGGCCTGTGCTGACGATCCTGCAATCGTGGTCGGCGATGCGCGATTTGTCGGGCAACAGCTCTTATGCGATTAAGAGCGCGTCCAGCAAGAGCCCGACGCGGCGCTCAGCTCCTGGCAAAGCACCCCCGTCTACCTCGACCTCGAGTCAGATGGTGACAACATCCCGGACGCCGAGGAGGGCACGGTCGACACGGACAGCGACGTCACCCCCGATTACGTCGACCCGCTCACCGGGTCTTGCAAGCCAACCAATCTCTCACTCGGGTGCAGAGACACCGATTCCGCACGCTGGTGTCGTCATGAATGTAGTGGTCGCTAAGCAGCGGAAGGGTGGCCCCCCCTCGGCGCGCCGCGCGCTTGACGAGACCATCGGCGCGGCACGTTTGCTTCGTGCACGAATGAGCCCAATGTACCCCATGGCGCTCGTCCATAACAGCGAGGCAGCCAGTCTGCTGGAGGCGGCTAACGCTCAGCACCTGTGGGACTTGCATGTGCCTCTGACACGCGGCGAGCGCACCGCCCCGGAGCTGGCGGCGCTGATTGATGACCTGCGCACCTCGAACGAAACCTCGTACAACGCACGCGCACAAGAAGGCATGCTCATCTTCTATCTGGGCAAGTTTTCAGCTTACCTCCTCTCGCCTTTTGAGCGCTCCCTCTTTCTCGACAGCGACGTCTTCGTCATGGAGCCCACATTTGTCCACAATCTACTCGCCAAGTCACTTTCAGTCGCCGACGTGGCCGCGCCTCTCGATCCAAACCGAAGGAAGCAACCCTTCGCTAATCACAGCGCCCCGCTTCTATGCAGCTGCATCGTTGCATTCAACAGCTCCTCAGCTGACGTGCGCAGCTTCTTTGTGGGCGCAGCGAAACGACTGCTCTGGCGGCAGCACACCCGCCTCGACGATGGACCGGATAAGGGGGAGAACACCAAGCCCGAAGTGCGACAGGGCGACCAGGAGATGATGTGGTTTGAATGGACTAGGGGGGTCCACCCCCGGCTCCGCGTGCTTGTGCTGCCCGAGGAGGCATACTGCCCGATGTCGACCCGAATCGACCGGTCGGGCAAGTTCGCCAAGTGGAGCACGAATTTTTGGGGCTACAGTTATGCTTGCCAAAGCGTGCACGGTCACAATTGCTGGGGTTCCATTAAGAATACCGAGGCGTACAAGTCGCTGCCGCCGCTCCGTTGACGTGGCGAGGAAGGAGACGAATAGGATTCCTAATGCGTACGTAATGGATGTTTGATAAAAGAAACTAGCAGCAGTGTGAGTGAAGTTAAGGAGCGTGAGGACTGAGGTACAGAGTGAGCCTTTTCGCACACCCCTCCGACCCACCCCGCGCCGTGGTTTCTGGTTATCCTCTCCGGTCAGCCGGGCGTTCCAGGTACCATTTTTAGGTGATCTGAATTTGAAGGGTACACAGCACGGCTTTACACAATCATTACACAGGAACATCATGGCGGCATCCGGCAAGTAGATGCGCACATTCATAGAGAGACCACATAGAGAGAGAGAGAGAGATAGGTCGGCGGGCGGTCTCCGCTCAGACGGCCCTCGCGCACCTGCCGCGCCACGCGGGTGCAGCCGAGGCCTCCGCCTGCACCACCACCTTCCTGCTTGCGGGCAGCTCCTTCGGCACCGTGAAGCTGACCAGGCGGCCGTCCCCCGCGCTCGCGAGGAGCCACTCGCCGGGCTTAGACTGCAAGGGCACCTCCGCCTCGAAGTAGGAGGGCTGCGGGCTGTGCGTGGCGCCGGCGGGCGCGTCTCCCCAGCCCGGCGAGCAGAGGAGGGTCAGGTTGGTGCAGCCGGCGCTGGGGACGACGAGGGCGGCGAGGGTGGGCGCGCTGCCGCCCGCCACGGGCTCGCAATCCTGCCGTGAACCGCACCCGGGCGGCACCCGGACGAGCAGGACGCTGCCGACTCCGCTGCCGCCCACCGGCACCTTGACCGCCACGCGCTGCTGGCCCGCGTGCACCGCGGAAGTGGCGGCCACCGGCTCGGGCAGGCGGCCAGTGCCGATTGGCTCGCTCAGCGGGTGCGGCAGCGGGGCGGGCGAGAAGCGGACCGAGCCCCCGGCGGCGAGCGGCGCGTGCAGAGGCACCGCCACCAGCTCGGCGGCGCGCCCTTCGCCGGCGGGGAGGGCGGCCATCACCAGCCCGCCGGCCGCGACGGACCTGCCGCCCGCGCGCGCCTCGAACGTGTCGCCGGCGCACGAGGGGGCTGCAGCGGCTGCGGCGGGGCCCTGGCTGCGCGCGGCGTCGAGTTGCGGCACACGCGGCACGTCGGCCGCGCCGTCCTCTTGCAGCGGCGGCAGCCGCATCGCGAGGCCCCCTCCCCGCCACGCCGCCGGCACGCGGAGGAGGAGGCGCCGCCCCGCCACCTCGGCCAGAAACGTGCCGCCCGCCGCCACGCCCTCTGGCGGCGCGACTAGGTACGTCGCGCGGCGCGCGGCGGCGAGGTCGGCGGCGGACGACGGCGCGGGCGGCGGCGCGTGGCGGAGAGCGAGCGGCGAGGAAGTGTCGTCGGCGAGCGGCTCGTCGCGCTGCTGCTGCTGCTGCTGCTGCTGCTTCAGGTACTGCAACGAGGAGAGCGCCTTGAAGACAACGCCCTTCGAGCTCCACTGCGCGGCCTGCTCGAAGACCGCCGACAGCTCGTGGTCTCTCTGCGGCGCGGCCAGGAGGAGGGCGTCCGCCGCCGGCGCCGTCCGCGTCGCGGCGGCGGCTGCCCTCTCGCGCGGCTCGCAGCGCGGCGCGCAGCGCGGCTCGCAGCGCGGCGCGTATGCCGCCCGCACGGCGGCGGAGGCGGAGCCGGCTGGCTCGGGCTGCTGCGGGCCGGGATGCTGCGGGCGGCGGAGGGCCCCGTCCGACTCGGCGGGACCCTCCGCCGGCCCCACCACCCCGCCGAGCTCCTCCTCGGACACGCACTCCCACAGGTTGGGCGGAGGGCCGTCGCGCCCCCGCGCCGCCCCCCGCCCCGCAGCTGCCTTCGCCGCGCCCTCCCTCGCGCCGCTGCCGAGATGCGCGTCGCTCGCCCGCCGAAAGTCGCGCCACTGGTCGAGCACGTGCGCATACACGCCCGACGGCACCGGGTGCCAGCAGTGCATCCGCCCGGCTTGCGGCTGGCGGCCGCCTCTCCCGCCGCCGCCGCCGCTCCTCCCGCCGCCGCCGCCGCCGCTCCCGCCGCCGCCGCCGCCGCTCCCGCCGCCGCCGCCGCCGCCGCGCCAGAAGCTCGCAGCCTCGGGAGCGCCGCCGTCGATTGGCAGAGGCGTGGCCGGGTCGAGGGGCCCGCCGCGGTGGACCACGTCCAGCCCCGCGTCCTCGAAGCTGCCGTACGCACGCCAGCTCGGACCCACAGGCACGCTCCAGCGCGGCGCGAGCCGCTCGGCCGCCGCCCCGCCCTCCACCTGCCTGCCCTCCTCCTCCTCCTCCTCCTCCTCCTCCTCCTCCCCCTCCCCCTCCCCCTCCCCCTCTTCGGGGTGGGCCTCGAACGGCACCATCGCCGTCGAGGCCACGCCCTGGCCGCTGCGTCCGCCCACCCGCGCTGCAGCCCACTCCTCGAAGCCCGCAAGCTTGAGGACCACCCTTGGCACGGGTCGACTGCCCTCGCTGGCGCTGCTGACTGCTCGGCTGGAAGCGCGCCGCGGCCGGTTGGCGGGATGAGACTCCCGCTCAGCCTCACCGGCAACATGGTCGGCGTCATCGCGCTCGACATGGCTGCCGTCGGCCGCCGCCACCAACGCTGCGTCAGCATCCTCAATCTCGACATCGGCCACCGCTGCCGCCGCAGCACCGCCGTCCGCAGCCGCCCTGCCGGCATGCCGCCGTTTCGCAGCAGGCTCGCCAGCAGACGGGGTCGAGGTGCTGCGGCTGCGGCGGCTGCGGCGCATCTTGGAGCAGACCCGGCGAGCCTCGAGCTTCATTTCTTTCTTGATACCCCTAATTGTTGCTATTCTGACTCGCCAAAGAAATCTGACTATCGCCGCCGAATTTGTAACACGCGCTGCGCCGGCGCCGCGCCACAGCTTGCCGAGCGCCGGCCACAGGCCTGCCTGCAGCCCAGCCACAACCGCCGCGGCGGCAGCTAGTCGGTTCGGCCTTGACTCGCACGCGCCGAGATGGGAGCCCAAGTATGTGAGCGCGCGGCGCGTCGACACGCCTCCGCTTTTGTAACAAAGTCTGCTTGGCTTGTGCAGGTGATGCCCAGAGCTGCAGCGGCGACGCCGGCAGCCTCGTCTCGACCTCAGAGGCTGCCGGCGAGACCATAGATCTGTGCTCTATCCGTCGGTGGTTCACCGTACACGCCTGTGTAGGAGCGGCTCTCGCATCGCTACGCGCCGCCGAAGGCTGTCTATGAGGGCACACCCGAGGAGGCGCGGATCTCAACCTGCGTGCGGCGGTGACCAGGTCACAGGCATCGGCTGTGACACTGGAGAGTCGAGCAGCGGCACTGAGGATGCCTTTCAGGTCATTCCAGCGACCCACGGAGCACGGTCTCAGTGCGCAATCACTCTACTAGATCCCATCCTTGCCGGGCCTCTGCGAATGTAGGTACCGAGTTCATGCGTGCCCATTTACAGGCTCATACTGCCTGGTCTCCAGCACCTATGATCACCGCGCCAGGCCGCAGTCGACGACTTTTGTGTGCGCTGGCCGCACTCAACCGTTGAGTCGCGGTGTATCAGCCTGACCACACTCGGGACCGCGTAGGCGATGTGGGCGACTCTGGCCGTCCTGCATATGACCGACCATGACCCAGGAGGAGTCTACACGAGACATGTCGTACCTGGCAGGCGCTCTCGCGGCAGCACTATCGCGTGCGGCCGAGTGCGAGCTTCCGTGCCCGGTGCCAGACGCACTCGGCGCCAGACGTCCTCGGGAGCTCGCAGTTTTGCCACGGCAGTTGCGATCCGGGCGATCAGAGAGCGCCGGCAGCTCAGGGGATCTTGTCTGCTCACCTGAGGTCGGGAGGGTAGCAGCGGCGAGGCCATGCGCCAGCGTGAGCCATCCGTATTAACGGTTGTTACAGATTAGTCAGATTTGCCGTGACCGCGTTCCGAGGTCACGATTTCGGCGTTCTCGTGTTGACCACTGTGGGTGTGCCTGGCACTTCTGGATCATGTCTCTCGGTGTCCTAGCACCCCCAGGCGATGGGTTTCACGGCCCCGTACCGCATGGGGCGCAAGGCCTCGCGCCGCGCGTGTGGTTCAAACTTTGTTACAACCCAGTCAGAATAGCAACAATTAGGGGTAAGAGAGAGTTCATTTCGTTGAATTCTTGATAAGTTTGGTTCTTGCAGTTCACCTACGGGTTCACCTACGGGCATGTTCGTAAGAGGCTGGCGTCTTGATCAAAAGAAGAATTTTAGTCCGGGCGGTCGGCGAGGGGGTCGTAGTGGGCTGGACGTACGGGGTAGCCACCACTTTCCTGCCTCGAAAGGGCGGGGCTGTCCCGGAAAGTGAGAAACGCCGGGCAGCGTGGTGCACGATTTCAACCTCCCATACGTGTTTGTTTCGCTCCTTTCCTCGGGCTGTTCCAGCTTCCCATCTCCTTCCAACTCAGGCGAGGCGGGGGGGGGGGGCGTGGGTGCGGGGTGGCGGGTGCGGTGCGGTGTGAGTGTGTGCGTGTCATGTGGCTACAGCAAGTGTCCGTCTGTCTGTCTTATTATTAACAACGAAGGCGCTCTCAAAAAAGAAGAAGAATTTTACAACAAAGCTCCCTCGCACAACACTGGGCACGGGACTGGCGCGCACTGGCACTAACACAGGTACACCAGGTGTTGTGCAAAAGAAGAATGTAAACAAAATAAGTCTCTCTCACAGCAGACAGGCTCGACACAGGTGCGAACTGGCGCGTGCTAGTACTATCACAGACAGGCACACCACCGGAGCCGCCTAAGCGACTCCGTTAAGAGCGGCAATGCACTTAGCACCGTGCACAATGCCGCTGTCCCCGCACGCTAGCTCGTTCACCGTCTGCCACGCCACGGCGGTGTGGAGAACGACAGACAAGCGCTGCATCTGCAGCCCGTGCCAGTTCTTGGTGGTCCATGTGACCTCATCGAGGTGCTGAGCGTGCGAAAGTTTGTTACTCAGCTGGTCCGCCGCCTGCCGAAGAATTTTGCGGACGCCGTTCCCGAAGCCGCCGAACGTCTCGAAGTCGAGCAAACGCAGGTCGCAATTCTTCTCCCGCGCGAACCGGTAGTCGCCCTTCTCGTAGGGGGCCGTCACAGGTGCCCCGCCTCCGCCTCCCCCTCACTCTCCTCCTCCTCCTCTTCCGCCGCCGCCGCCTCCGCCTCTGCATCCTCCGTCTCCCCCCCCCCTCCCCCCCCCCCTCCGGCCGCGGCCATGCAGCATGCCCTAACACTAAGTCGAGCAGCGCCCGCTCGGTGTTGCCGAAGGCGACAAAAGCCCCCTTCCAGCCGAGCCGATCGCCACCCTTGCACGCAAGCGAGCTCGTAAGTTTCAAGTCGCCAACGAGGCGCACATGCCCTTCGCCGATGTTCGCCGCCGCCACGTCAGGTTGTTTTGGGTTACTGTAACTGAGGTGTGCAGTCGGCTCCATCTCGATGAGCATGCCCCACGCCGAGCGAAGGGTCTTGACGAGTCGTTTGAGCAGTTTCGCACGCGGGTTGACCATTGCGGCATCGCCGAGTTCTTCGTGCGGCTTGCCGTTTGGCGCCTTCTTGCCCGCCTCCACCGCCTGGCAGGCAACATCGAGCGGGAGGCCGAGGCGGCGCTGAACTGTAATGCGCATCGCCCACGTCTCCATCTTCATATCATCCCGCATGGGGATCGCATTCAGGAAGGCGCCAGCCCCCTCCTGGCTGACTGCGACGAACCGAATCGCCTCGCGCCAGCACTTGTGGTTCTTGCACCTGCCAGTCTTGTAGCGGCCGCCCCGCCGGGATGCCTCGCTGACGAAGGCTTCGGCGAGGGCGAGCCAGTTGCGATGGTGTACGCCGGAGGTGTACCGCCGCTGCGCCTGCTGTAAGAATTCGCAGTAGACGAAGTCATGGCTCCTCATGTGCGCGCAACGCCCAACCCCTGCCCGCGAGACGCCAAACAGCCCTGTTGTGCACCATAATGCCGAGGGCCGTCGCACCCAGCGGCTCGACCACCTCACCAGACGGCTTCCTGGATGCTCTCCGAGCACGACGAGGATGCCGCGGGTCAGGCGGATGAGGCACCGGGCCACGGGAGCGCGGCAGAGGGAGAGGACGAGGCCAGAGTCGGATGGAGCGCGAGTTCCGCGAGTTCCACAAGCGGAGGGCGGCGGAGAGCAAGCGCGTGCGCAAGGAGGTGGAGCGCTCGCGAGCCGCTGCGAGGAATCGGCAACAGCGGCAGCACTCGGCGCAGCAGGCGGCAAGAAGAAGAGGGCGCCCAAGACGAAGGTCGCGGATGAGAACCCGACGTCATGCTGCCATCACCCGATCGCCTGCGCCATTCGGCTCAAGGCCTTCGACGCGCTGGGCGAGCTACTGTCATTCGAGTTCTCGCCGCTCGGGACGCTTGATCGTCGGCTCACCCGTGTCCAACTGCTGTTCACACGGAACCTTTCTCCACTTCAGTCTTCAAAGTTCTCATTTGAATATTTGCTACTACCACCAAGATCTGCACCGGGGCCCGTTTCACCCAGGCTCGCGCCCAAGGCTGCGCCGCGAGCCCCGCGCCCTCCTACTCGCCGGCGCCTCGCGCTCGCGCCGGCGGCCGCGCATCGGTGGTCCGCTTGAGCGCCATCCATTTTCAGGGCTAGTACCGACGGTTGCTGCGCAAAGTGATCAGCTCTAATGAATGTACCGGGGCCCTACGGATAGATGAATCCGGGGCACCCTCCGCTCGAATCCCTGGCCAGGGGTTCGAGGTGGCCCCCACCCTGGGGCCTCCCATCAAAGGGACTGCTGCAGAAGACGCCCAATCTTGCACAAGTGCAAGAACCATACATGTTGTGCATGCATCTCTCTTCGCAGTCCCTCGCGATGATTCTTCGTCCCGCTTCTTTCCTTTGCCCAGCGATTTCTTCAAAAAACGCAATGCCGAACGCTACTTGTCGCCAACACGAAAACGCCGAGATCCTGTTTCGTGCGTGCTGCCACCGAAACTTTGCCATGGCCCCTCGAGTCTATCGAGCTCCCCTCGCGCAAGGACCACGTTTCTGACTCCCACTCCGATCATTTGCCTACAGGTCATGTTGTTGCTCAGGTCCACTCTCTCTTCGAACACTCGTGCCTCTACGGATGATGCCGGCGCTGGGGTCCCCTTCGGATGCATTTTTTTCTTGTATCAGGGCTTCACAGCACGAGAATTCTTTTCCCTCGCAGCTCTCTCGCCGCCACCTCCCGCAAGCACGTGATACCCGGGTATGGTGCTCGCCCAGCCGCGCTGGCGCTCCATCTGCAGCCCGTCTGCTGCCACCGCCTCGATGAGCGGCGCCGGCGGCCGCATCGCGACGGCGCTGGCGGTGGTGCTCGCCGGCGTCGCCTCGCCAGAGCTGATTGCGGGCGGCAGGGCTCTCGGTGGCGCGATCGCGGCGCCGGTGGCCGAGGCGGCCGCCTCGCGTGCGGGCAGCGCCGCCCTGCAGAAGCGCTGTCGGCTACAGCTTCGCTCCAAGCTCGCCAAGGTGCCCGTCTTTGTCGTCACAAACGACGGCGGCTCGCCGTTCCTCTCGCAGATCCCGGGCGGCGACCAGTCGGCGCTGCTGTTTCTCTTCCCCGCCGAGGCGCAGAAGATGCTGCAGGGCGTGCTCAAGGCGCCGAACGGCGCCTCGTCCGGCGCCAAGATCACCATCTCCAACCTGGAGCGCGCCTACCAGCTCGCCTCGAAGCCGCCCTCCTTCTCGGGGCTCCGTGACCAGGCGCACGCCGCGGGCGAGGGGCGGGGAGGGGTGGGCACGGGAGGGCGGGCGGGGAGCGGGCGCCCACGCGTCGGCCGGCGCGCCTCGCAGGTCACGAACCGCGAGCTCACGATGGTGTGGCAGTTTGCGCCGCACGCGGCCGAGGTTCGCGCGGCGCAGGCGCTGATGGTTCGGTCGATGAAGGCGCCGGTGGCGCCGAAGCTGCCGGCGTACATGGTCAACGGGCTGGCGTACGACAAGCGGGGGAAGGAGGCGCCTCGCAGGGGAGAGGGGGGGGGGCGGAGACGGGCGCCTCCCTCCTCCAGCCGCCCTCCGGTGCGCCGCAGGTGCGACCCGTCTTCCTCTCGCAAAAGGACGCGGCCGCGGCGATGGAGCAGACGGCGGCGGCCGCCGACGGCGCGGGCGTCAAGCAGGAGGCGCGCGGCGCGGCCGAGAGAGGCAGCCGAGGCCGCTCTCTCGCCGGCGGGGAGAGGGCATCCTCCCCGTATCTCCCCAGATCTCCCCAGATCTCCCCAGATCTCCCCAGATCTCCCCAGATCTCGCCGGCGGAGAGAGGGCATCCTCCCCGCGGCGCTGTGCAGGTGGTCGTGATTGTCCTGGTAATAGCTCATGAAACCGTCGTCAGCGATGATCAGGTGGTCGTGGTTGACTTGCTGGAGATGCTCGCGCAGCTGAGTCACGCCGTCTCGGCGGACACCGCCGCCGCGGAGGCGGAGATCTCGAGCATCGAGTGCGAGATATGGGGAGATGTGGGGAGATGTGGGGAGATATGGGGAGATCTCGAGCATCGAGTGCGAGATATGGGGAGATGTGGGGAGATATGGGGAGATCTCGAGCATCGAGTGCGAGCGCGGGGTCGCCTGGCGAGGGGGGGACGCGGCGGCGAGGGGGGGCAGGGCGGCGAGGGGGGAGGGGGGGGGGGGAGAGGGTCGAGAATGGCCTCGCCGCTTGTCGACGACCCCGCCGCCCGCCCACCCTGCAGGTTCGTGCCCGCCTCCGAGTCGGTGCAGCTGCGCAACGAGCTCAAGGCCGACAAGAAGCTCACCAAGGCCAAGGTCGTGCCGCCCGACTTCCGGTGGAAGTGAGCCGGCGGGGCAGCTGCCACACAGCGCCCCTCTCTCAAGACGTGGGCTCGCGGGCTCTCTCGTTACGGATACAACGCGGGAGCTCCTGCTCAAGGCCCCGGGGTGTCTCAAGTGAGTGGTGGCGCCTACATTCCTACATACACTAGATAAATTCTAGTTACCAGTATCTCTCAACACTCAACCCATCATCGAGCATGGGCTAGTTCCATTTCACTATGGCACAGCCCGCGTTACAAAACCTCTTGATTGTCACCATTTGCGCAAAAAGGTACCTCTCGGTGCCTTCCAGAGGCAGCTGCGACCCCGCCGAGTAGACGGTAACACACAGCAGGTGGCGCGGTGTGTTACCGTCCACTCCGCTGGGTCGCAGCTGCCTCTGCGCGTCCTGGGTATGTACCTTTGTCGCGCGCCGGAGACGACTCGACGCCGCTGAGATCGGAGATCAAGCTCTGACAGGTCGCACGTCGCTCCTTTGACGCCGACGTGACTCACCCGTGCAGATCACATCAGGACACGGTCTCGACACGCTCGGTACGACGCCTGCGACCCGTCTTGGGTCAGGTGGCACGACGCTCATCGCGCCTACCAGCGCTGCCGTGCAGGTTGCCACGACGAGGTCGAGAACGCTTCTATACGCTCGCCCAGCCTTCCTTTCCATCCCATTAGGCAGCCTGGGAACGGTGGCGGTCAGAGGCAAAGCCTGCGAGGGGTGGTGGAACCACATGTCACGGCTACCGCCGGCTCGACCCCACGATAGCCTCCGGAGGCTGACTTTGAGGCACAATCATCGGACGACGTCGGCGAGTTGAGTCGCGCTCGCGGTAGCCAGATGACCTCTCACACTAGTATCATCGGCCATGGCCGCAGGAAGCGCGGGGGATTCCGCTGGGAGCAACACGGAGCTCCGTTGGACGCGTTTTCAAGATTAGCTTTTCAGAGTGAATTGGAACTAGCCATGGGAAATATTGTGGGATCGTACGCCCTTGCGCCTCTTTTGGGCGCCGGCGGCGGCGCGCTGGCGGTGGCGCGCGCCTGTTTTCCTTTTCGCGATTTTTTTGGAGCCCTAGCTTGCCCGCGCGATGGGTGAAACTTTTCGCACCCCCTGCTCCACGACTGGAGGGCGCTTTAATAGGCGGCGAGGGTGGGGCGCTAGGCGGCGGTTCGCTTACGGGGGGGAGTCGGGTGGGTCATCGGCGTAGCTAGAGGCCCCATCACCAATGTCGTCGAGTGGGATGGTTGTACCTCCTCCGTTGATAGGCATGTCGTCGCCCACGGTGCTGCGCTCTCCCCGTCGTCTGCGTCCGTTGGGATATTCGTCTTGCCACTCCGGCGCGCCGCAAACCCGCAATCCCTCGCTCCGCTCCTGCCGAGGTCAGCTTGTTTATCGACGTAGTCGTTCCACTTATGACCACTGTGCCCCTTGACGTGTCTCCATGTCACTTCGTGCCTCGACGCTAAATGCCGCCACGCTGCTCGAAGATAGCTCGCTACGTCGCTAGTTGTGCGTTCTCCCCCGGGGAAATTATCCCCATCGCACACGCCATCGCGTACTCGCTGTCCGTTCGGACCACCCGTACACGTATGACGACAGTCGCCGCCCTCGTGACGCTCGGCCTCGCCTTCACGGCGCCCGCCAGCCGCCTCGCGCCGCCGCGCGTCTCGTCTGCTCGGATGGTGTGCGCCGCGGTCATGCCTGAGACGCCGCCGGCTCTCGAGTCCGACTGCGGCTTTGACCACGTGCCTCTCTCGATCGCGCTGCAGTCCGGCGACTTTCTGGAGGCGCGGCCGCCCGGACCGCCCGCGACAACGCACACCGCCTGCCCTCGCCGCCGCCGCCGCCGCCCATTCGCCTGGGCAATCCCAACACTGTTGGGAAGCGAGATGTTTGCCCAGATAGTGTTCTGGTTGGCGACGCGTCCAGCCTGCTGACGCGGCGAGGCGTCCCATCGAGCTTGAGCCTTGCCAAAACGTGGCGTGCGAGTGAGTTTTTCCGCACACTGTTGGTATAAGCGACGAGGTCGTACGTTTGAAGGGTGGAGGGGCCCTGGGGCCGAGGGTAAGAGGCCGTTTGCCGCTTGCTTGTTCTTGACGTCGTTGACCCAGTTGGCACGCTCAAGGGGGGAGTTGACCCAGTTGGTGCGCATCTTGCGCGCCTGCTTGTTGATGTTGTCGGCGTCGCCCGCCACCGCCGCCATGGAGATCTGCTGGGCTGAAGCCGGCAAGCAAGCACGCCAGGGCAATCATTGTTGATCGGCGCGCTCGCGCTGCTCCCCTGACGCTGCTCCCGCGCTGTCCCCCCGCCCTTCACGCCCTCAAAGCCGGGAGGGAGCCCGCCGCGCGCCAGATCACTTGAAAAAAAACAGTCTCCTCGCGTGTGTGCGGGATGACGCAAGGGCGGGGACCTGTTCCTTTTTACCCATCTCACAGTAGAGAGGTGTCCGTTTTTATTTATTTATTTATTTGCGGGATGTCTGTGGTGTCGAGAGCGATGTTGCCAGTGACCCAGTGTCCGTCCCCTATTTTCCCCGCCACAAGGGACGCAATGGGGAATTTGAGTGCCGGGAAGGTGACGTTTCAGCATTCAGGAACAGGATGTGGTTTTATCGTTTTAGGACCTAACGAAGAGGTCTTAGTTGGGTCGTAATTGAAATTGTGGCCGCCGCCACCCCGGTCCCCGCCACCCGCGACCCGGTCGCAGCCTCTGGGGGGAGGCGGGGGCCCCCGGAGGCACCGTGCGCCGCGCAGCAGTGCGGAAACGGGGCTCCGGCTCCGCTAGTCTCCGCTAGCACCGACTTCCCGATTAAGCTAGGTTAATCAGAGGGCAGATTTGGAGAGATCTCGAGGAGTACATACAGATAGACCCTCCAACCATCAGAAAACTCCGACCTGATCGGTCGTACTGACCGCCGACAGATCACTCCAGACAGCAGACAGGCCGACGTCTGCACGCGGCCGGCCGGGCGAGAGGCTTGACACGATCCGACCCTGCGACCCTGACGCTGCTGCTCTAGCTATCAGACATGCACTGCTGACTGCTGCCACAATGTGCGACCTGTGCTGGCCCACTTGGCGGCCTTCCCGGTCAGTGGTGAGGCGCAGTTCAGAGCTGTCGATGGCGCGATGCTGCACTGGTCCCACATTGGTGACACGAGACCACCAAGTTTGCCGGTCCAAGAGAGAGGCACCGGCGCTCTCCTGAGAAAGTGCATGGTCCCTCTTGTATGACTGCCCATGCGCGCGAGGCTGTGTAGGCATAGCCTCGAGAGTGCCAGCAGCCAGTCGCCGAGGCAGCTTGTGACGCGCATTGCGTCAGAAGCGTGCACGCGCTGGAAGGACACCTTGCTTCCTACTGGCCGTACGATCAGGTCGTCACTGAATGGTGGATACTAAGGCCGCGAGCTATGCAGGTGGTCAATTGCGCAGCAGGGCACGGTCAGCAGCGCCGACAGGCTGTCGCAAGGCGTGATAGCATGGCCGCAAGTACAGCGAATTCCCATGAAAACAAGTAAAAAATCGCGCAAAAAAGAAAAAAATCCCGAAAAAATCGGCGCCTGCGGCGGGCCATGGGACCCCATCTCCCCCCCGCATGGATGCCCTCTAGGGCCCTCGCCTCCCCCCAGAGGTCGCAGCTCGCACCGCCGCCCTAACACCACGACCAGCCGCCCTACACAGTACCGATACAAAACTAATTTTGACGAGGGACAACAGCCAGAACTTGGCAGAGAACTAGAGCCACAGCCAGATAAGCCGGAGCGGACTTAGCCGGCCACAAGCACAAAAGACCGCTCTGAAAATTCTGTGACAGTGACACATCCACATGCGCGAGCGGGACACGGCTCACGGGACACCCCGCCGCGCGTGTGGACTCAACAACACGGCGCACTCTCTGCAGATAGGGAAACACAGCGCGCTCCCAGCCTCCCAAGAGGTACTGGCGCACCTCGCTACGGGAGAGGGTGTGCAGCCGAGGGGCGGCAGCGGAGAGGAGCTCGGCGGGACGGTCCGCCACGCGGGCGTGTGTGCTGTGATGCACAGCAGAGAGAGCGAGGACGGCACGCATGGACAAGGGGCTGGGGGGCCGAAGTGGACCCCGGGTCAGAGTGCCGGTCAGTAGTAGCCGGGCGAGCCGCGCGAGGCGCCCTCGGAGAGCGTCTCAGAGAAGCGCTCTTCCTCGCGCGGCGAGCGCGGCGGCGCGAGGCTGCCGAGAGGCACCGAGAGGCCTCCGCCTGATGACGAGTTCACTCCTGTCAATTAGCCATTACTCACGGCGAGGCATCCGAGCGGCACCGAGCAGGCCTCCTCCCTCGCCGCCGCCGGGCATGGCTGCGGCGTCCTCTGGCACTGACTGCGCGAGCAGCGAGACCACGTCGTAGTTGATGCGCGAGGAGAGCTGCCTGGGGGGGGGGGGGGGGGTCGACAGAGCACGCGGCCGCCTCCGGCCCCGCGCACGGGGGCGCGCCTGTTGCGCCGCAGCTCGCCCTCGACTGCCTCCGCCGCTGACGACGCGGCGCCGCGTCCGCCCTGCTCGCCGCGGCGCGCGCGCTTCTTTGGGCGGCGGCGCTGGCCGGCGGCGAGGAGCGCCTCCGCCGTCTCCCCGTCGAGCCCCCTCGCCGCCGCCATCTGCTCGCGCGCCGCTTGCTTCGCCGCCTGGGCCTCGAGGTACTCCTTGTTCATCTCGTCCCACGCCTTCGCCTTGGTTGCGACCTCGGCCTCGTCGGTGATGAGGTACGCCTCCACCTGCCCTCGGGTGATCTCGGGTGATCTCGGGTGATCTCGGGTGATCTCGGGTGATCTCGGGTGATCTCGGGTGATCTCGGGTGATCTCGGGTGATCTCGGGGGAGCTCGGGGGAGCTCGGGGGAGCTCGGGGGAGCTCGGGTGAGCTCGGGTGAGCTCGGGTGAGCTCGGGTGAGCTCGGGTGAGCTCGGGTGAGCTCGGGTGAGCTCGGGTGAGCTCGGGTGAGCTCGGGTGAGCTCGGGTGAGCTCGGGTGAGCTCGGGTGAGCTCGGGGGAGCTCGGGGGAGCTCCGGCCTCGTGGGTGATGGCGGCCCGCCCTCCACCCATACCCCCACAGTACCCAACCCGTCCCCTACCCCACAGTACCGAACCTCATCGTCAAGCCGATCTCCCTATCTCTCCCCATCTCTCCCCATCTCTCCCCAGATCTCCCCATCTCTCCCCAGATCTCCCTCCACCTCATCGTCGAGGGTGTCGAGGTCCGTGTTGAGCTCATCCATCAGCGCCTGGGCGGGAGATATAGGGAGATATGGGGAGATTGGGGGAGATTTGGGGAGATGCGGGAGATGGCGTGAGCTCGTCCATCAGCGCCTGGGCGGACGTGTCGCGGACATGTCGCCCCGCCCTGCCAGCCTCGCCCTCGCCCTCCCAGCTACCCCCCACTACAGCCGCGCCTGCTGCTCCTCCTCGTCGTACTCCTCCTCGCCCACCCGACACGATATCGCGTCCGCAACCTCCCACGCCGTCGGAGGAGCGGGCAGCCGCTCCTCCTCCTCGCCCGCCGCCGCGCCCGCCGAACTGCTGCCCGCGGCGGTCCCCTCGCCCTGCCTGTGCCCTAGCTGGAGCACCACCTCGCTCCGCAGCGCCTCCTCAACCTCAGCCTCAAGCCCGTGCGACTCCGCCTCCGCCGCCGCGCGAGCCTCGACGTCGGCGCCAAACGTCACCCTCCGCCGCCGCCCGCCGCCGCCGCCGCCGCCGCCGCCGCCGCCGCCGCCCTCCTCCTCCTCCTCTCCTTGCCTCTGCGTCGCCT